GCTCATTCCCTCCCGCCTTCTGTTCTCCCCCCCCCCCCCCCCCCCCCCCCCCCCTTCTCTCTCTCCTATTATTTACACACATATAGTCTTTTACAGGCTAATAATTTTTACAAGTTTAGATATAAGTCAAGCAAAGTTCCATCTGTAATATTCCTCTGACTCTACTCTGTAAGCCTTGAGGACTCTACATGGTCTCTGTTACCAACCCAATGAGGCCCCAAAAGATGCAGGGCCTTAATTTTACACTATGAGTGGCAAACTACTGAGCGTTAAAGACAGACTACAGTCTCCATGGTGGTGCGATAGTGAGGGGCTGAGGAGACTGGTTTTTAAAAGTGAAATCTAAAACTTTGGGAGGCAAAGTGGAAAGCCAGTAGATTTTCTTATGGTATTTTTAGCTTTTTAAACAATTCCATCTTACCTGCAACATTCTCATTCTGACCAAATATTCATTATCTGATATAATCTTAAAAAAATGCAATTCAGCACTACTGAACCTCAATACAGGATCTCATTTTAATATAAATTGTACACTCAAAGACCAGGTTATCAAGGAGGAAACTGACAGCAAAACTGTGTGTCTCAAAATACTAGTAGTGACTATCATGAGTTCACTGCACAGATTTGAAAGGGCAGGGAAACTCATTTGAATAAACAGCACTCTGCATCTTGTTATGTCCAAGTGGCTATCTCTAAAAAGAGTGACCTTTATTAGCACAAATGGAGGAGAAGGAAAGAAAACTTAAGATGGTGCAAATTTTATGGTACAACATATGGTACAACATTAAGACTGCTGCGGTTTCATCCTGTTGACTTGATCATCTAGCCCTCATATCTAACCTCTCAAGAACTAGCTCTGTGTTTTGCAGCTACACACTTAACACAGCTATGCCAACATAGCCACTGAACGAGACGTTACGAACCACTGGACACTTATTATTCAGTTTCAATAATCAATTTAAAAACTGAATAAACCTTGAACTCCAGCTCAAATGATCTTGCTTTAAAAGCCCAACTAAAATGTAAACTACATCCTTAATTGTAGCAGGAAAGGATCCACTGCAAAACGTAGAATAATTGAACTGTTTCCTCAAAAGGAGGCAGAACTACCTATGAAAAATATTTGAGTTTTTAAGCTTACACAACTCCAGTATTACAAAATATGCGTAGAAAACATTGCCTTTTACTAAATAATCTCATTGCCTGAAAGTTTCAATATGCAACACCACCACACACTAACATCACTAAAAATCACACCAGCCTTTTTTTTTTTTTTTTTAAATTGGCCCTATCTTGATTTCTGCAGAAATAAGCAAAACAGAAATAAACAAATTTGGAAGTGTACAGCATTCTTCTTGCCAGCATTGGACTGTCACGCACTTGTGCTAGTACTCTAGCTTCCAAAGGAATGAGGTTTTCAACTCTTCTGCAGACAAGCAGAATGCACTGTCCAGAAAAATACACTTAGGAGCTATGTTCTTTATATTGGCTTTGGACTACAACAATTTTTTTTTTTTTTGTATTCACATAAAAAGACAAAACCGCCTAATTTTTTCCTCTGAGAAAAAGCCAGCATGACAGCCAAATGGACAAAAGAATCTCTCTAGAATAAATACCAAGTTGCCGACGTCTGAAGCAAAAAATCTCCTGATTGCATTCTAAAATGTTACAATAATCTCTGTTCTTATTTTCTCTCAGGCTTCATGCGAAAAGGAAGCAGTTTAACGCACATTCTTCCCTTTTCATTGAGGTTCAAAAGAGGATATTGGTTCAAAGCTTGATCATAACCTCCTAGGTTTGAATTCCCCTATACTTAATTAGATCTGAATGCAACTGAGAAAAGAGCATGACTTCTTAAGAACAGAGGTATTTATCCTCCCTACTATTTACTGTGAGGCAAAACATGGGTGTCAGCACCATTCCCTACGTTTTTCAGAAATCTGACCAAGGTACCCATGCTGAGATGTCCTTCTCTTAGAAGTACAAAAGCTTTCCACTGTTATCTGTGTCACTGAGGGAATAAACCAGACTATTTTCATCCCACTTACATTTTAAAATTACACAGCAAAAGTATATTGACAAGCAAATTAAAAACTTACATCATGAACATACTACAATGTTAATTTACAACAGTTTGATATTCTGCAGAATTACTGGCAGCCCTTTTACACAGAATGGCAGCCCTTTATTTTTAGCACATATTAACTGCGTAGGGAAGGTAAGGGAATGCGGGGGAGTCATCACCCATCTGTACAAACTGTTAGCATTAATTTCAATCCATTAGATGCCATTTGCCAACATATTTATCAGGCTGACAGTGATTTTCAGCACTATTTTCATTTTTTAAAAGTCCAAAGAACAAACAATTTAGAAACTTATTTTTTCCCCAGCAATTCAAATCTTAAATGAGGTTTAAAAGTCCCGGCCCAGTTTGAGGCATTAGTTTTGTACCATGTTCTGTTCTGTGAACTGCTCCCCCACCCAACTCTCTCTAGCAGCTATTGAAGTCTATTTGGCCACCACATAGCCTAGCCTGTTCTAGCAAATCCCCATGCAGATTTAATACTTCATTGCGGGTGTTTTCCTTCATGGTAGATTTTTACTGTTTAACTCCTCATTAAAAGGCATGGCAGCATGATATATTTCAAAAGTGAAGCACCTCTGCAACATTAAATGTGGCTATCATCGCTGTGGGAAATTCATGTCAGCACAGGCAAGGCCAACAGTAACATAAGCAAGCACCCCGTAGGAAAAGGAAAAGATGCTGTTTCCTCTGATATGGTACATGAAGGTAATGATTATGCATCCGGAACCAAAAGGCACCAAGGGCTCAGAAGAGCTGTTTGTTCACGTGTGTATCATGTTACAATCCATAGCTCACAAAATGAACCAAGTAAACAACCCTAGGGAAGAAGGCACAGGAAAATGGAAACATATAAAACATCCTCTGATATTAGCCTGTGCCACAACCACTTCCAGCAGAAGCTGACTAGCATCAAGGCTATCCGAAATCTGACTTTCAGAGGAATAATGAAAAATGAGAAGAGGTGCAGCCAACAAACCAAGCTTTATCGTCGCACGTCTGTGGCCCTAAGGGCCTCGTGTCAGAAAGCAAAGCTAATAAAAAAAGCAGCCAGCTGTCTCTTAATTTTTTTTTTCTAATCCTCAAAATGGTTAGAAAAGTGATGTGCACATGTGGCATGTCTCATTAATACTCATCATGTGTGTATTCGTGTATCACACAGACTAGAGATAGATCTAACCCTGCCATATGCCTGTTCCTCTTTTCAGACTGTGGGTACTATATACACACAATCATGCATGCTACTATTTTGCCATACTATAGATCTAATAATATTCATCACTATCCTCAAAAATTGTGCTCCAAGAACACTGTGTAAGAAACAGGTTATCGTATCTATTTACCTTCCTACTTGTAAGTGTCTACACTTCTCTTATTTACATTGACTGTGCGTCTTTGGGGTTTTTGCCTCCTCTGCCATAACAAAAAGATGACACTGGAAATCAGGGAAGAAAAATCTTGTTCATTACCAAAGACAAAATGTCCTGAAGACACAAAAACAACAGATAAGGAACCTTAGTCTAGTTTAAACATTATGGACTGAGACAGCCTTAGCAAACAAACATAGAAAAGAGGAAAAGCTATGAAAAATTGAGGAATGTAAGAAAAACAAAACCAAAAAAGAACTGTACGTAACCCCAGACATACTAAGAAGTGACAGGTATAAATTATTCACAAATGAAATGATGAAACTTTTGTTCTCTTTAGAACAAAACATTAATTTCTGTGCAGCTACTCAATAGCTACACTTAGCAACAGATCACGGGATTGCTCAGTCTTAAAAAATGTAAGTATTTTTAAATACTGTCAATTGTTCCAGAGGAAGCAGAAAATACTATATTGAGAAAGCCTTATTTTGTAAGAAAGTGATAGTAAAAATAGATTTTGATTAGTATGTAAGATCAAAAGGAAAGCAGACGAACTCTTTAGAGTATCAAAATGCCCATGAGAAGAATCTCCTGCACAGCTACTTCATGCACAAGGGTAATTCTCTGGTCATTCCAAACTTTTTTTTATTTGTGGAGGAAGTAAGTCAGAATGAGCTCTTCTTATTTGTGGAAGTGGGTTGCAGGGGGTTTATTTGCCTTTTTTTTTTTTTTTTTTTTGAAGTAGAAAACCTTTGTGGAAGGAAAGAGTATTCCATATCTTCACAAAAATTCACTTGATTATTAAGTCCCCTGAGAAGGTTTCTCTGGAACGTAGGACTATTCTAAAAGAGGCATTCCCTGCTTCCAGACCATCTACCTCATTTCCAAAACTCTAAGGACTCATGGGAAATTTCTCAGACACCATAACTTCTCTGATCATATCAGTATGGAAAAGCTCATAACAATACCGGTTCCAGGACCAGAAGGATGCACAGGTTAAACTGGTGAGCTGCTTAGCACAGACAAGAACAATGATACATTGAAGACTGTAATTTCTTTACCATCATGTTTTTTTTGAAGCTGCCAAGTAATTAAATGGAATCCAATCCACAAAGCAGTAACTTGAGCACATATCTCCTTCATCCGTAAAACTGACATTATGGTTCCTCAAATGCTCAGTGCACCCTGACTTAACATACGTGTGGGATACATACACAACATACGGTTGCTTTGAAAGACTTATTAAAAAAAAATAAGGAAGAGTTTCCGCGGTTTTTTCTTCTTCTTTTCTCCTTCCCTTCCCCCCAACCCTGTCCCCCCATCCCTAAAATAACTGATGTGGTCACTTCATGTGAAAGCCTGCCTAGCGGGAGACAGCACTCCATAGCTCTCTGGAACCACACCTTTATGAAGAGGCAAACTTCATTGTCCACGAGGGCAAAACACGCTCACAGGAATCACATGTGTGAACATGCACACACACACACACACACACAGAAGGATGAGAAGAAGAAAACAGAATGAACAATTATAAAAGAGATACAACGTCCATACCCTGGTAAGGTCCATGCCAAGTTTGAGCTGAGAGATGAGATGGAGAATTACACTACGTTGATCATCCATGACTCCTAAATCCTCCTCTTCATTATCTTCAGTATCTGTCATTTCATCTTCAACTAGGATCAACTCAGAAGCTGAATGCTGAAATGAAAAGAAACATCACCATCTGGACAAAAAGATACAGTATGTTTTTTTCCACTATATATGTTTAAAAATGGAGCTGTCTCAACGGAACCAAAGACAGCCTCTGTTAAAACCAAGAAAAGATACAAATTTAAAATAAAAAAAAAATCCAGTGATGGGTTCATAGAGCATTTCAATCCTATCCTCAGAACAAGAGTGGTAAGTATCAGATGCTAATTTACATATTATTTTCTCATATTTATATTGCAGCGATGCCAGACAAAAATCACAGCATATTAAAGTAACAGATCTCCTATTTATTAAATAGAAGTACACAGCTGAAAATGAGTCTTCAAGAGTTTGTTTCATAAATCTCTCCAGCAAATATTCATACTTCACACCTAGATGTTGCATGACCTGATTTCACGCTATTTTTTCCCTTTCCTCTATCCAACTTCCAAGTTAGATATCTAAAAAGTCAAGACTATTAACTGAAGGAGATAAAAAGAAGACTGTAATTAAAGTACACACCTTTGGGGTATAAAAAAAGAAAAAACAACAAAGACATTAGATTTTGGGGGGTAAGGCAATGCCATGAGTCTTTATGACATTTGCAACATTACACTGCTTCACAGCACAATAATGCCAATACTGCCTGGTTTCCAGACATACTAGCTAAAGATCAAGAGAGAGACATCACGCCACCTCCTTTCAAGAGGAACTTTACAGCAGAAAGGGATAATGATTTGTGATACTTTATTTCCCCTCAGGGTTTACAATGTATTACTAAAAATAATCCAAACAGGTGGTAGTTATTTTGTTCAGTCCATTGAAACCACTCTGCAAGCCTTCCAGATATATATTCAGGTAAGTTTTTTGTACTTCAAAAAAACAGTTGGGTTATATAGCTGAAAAATTTACGGCCCAGCATTACATTATTCCCCAAGGTTTCCATGCTGCGAATGAGACAACACTACCTGCAAAAGTTAGCATTCCTTCATGCTAAATAGCATTTTTGCAGAAACAGCTGGTTCGTTACATAAAATGAGAAATTTTTCATCTCATTGTGAAAGTCTTTGCAACTGAAAAGTTTCATTAAAACCAGCTGATATTCAGAATTAGGTTTCAAAGAAATATTTCTGAATGATCACATTAGAGACCCCTCAGGTGAACAGCAGCTTGTGTAAGGAGAGTGTCTCTGAAATTTAGTTACTACAGATGTTTCCAAGACTTGAACAAAGTCTTTTCTCTTTCCCTCTTTTTTCTTTTTCTTTTTTTAATTAAATAAATGTTTAGGTAACTATTCCCAAAAGAATAGCTAGTGGTGAAATCCAAGGACGTTTGAAAGACACTTTACAATTACTTTATTTAGAAAGTGGAATATGTAGGTTACATAAAACAGAACCTGGCGAGCTGTAACCTCAACAGCTTGGAGCTTTTCAAAAGGACAAAACCACTTTCTTCTTCCCACTCCCTCAGAAAATAAAGGATAGAACGATAAGCCCTTTCCTCCCAAAATGAACAGCATTATTATCCAACTGACGCCTTGCCGACAAGTTCAATTAACATAAAATTTGACAACCTCATACAACATTATCAGTTGGGGAGACATAAAGCACCCAAGCCTGGCTCAGCTGTACAGGCTACAGTTCATTTGGAGGGAGCGTAGAAAAAGCAGTATCAGAACTTACAGTAGATGCTTCCACAGGAGGTTTCCCTTTGATCCAGCTTGACCTCATTGAGAGCACTGAGCTACCGAGTAAGCACTGCTGCTTCCGTTACTGCCATGAACTGAGCTCGCTGCAAACAAGCTCCAGCAGGAATTAATAGCGCTAGGAAAAAAGCAAGGGAACCTCCCCTCCTCACTCCCACCCCCTCTTCTTTTTTTTTTTTTTTTTTTTCCTTTTTTTGGCTATCCGACAAGTTGGAGAGTGTGCACCGGATGTCAATCTGCTCCTTGCATTTCTAGTCACACGGCATTGAGATCAGCGAGTTTAACTGCACACAGCTCCAAGTGGGAAATGGTGCTGCTGTTTCCCAAAGGATACCCTGGTGGGCTGTTCTCCAGGTGGGGGGCAGGAGGGAGCGGGCACGAGTGTGTGTGAGTGTGCACAAGTGTGAGAGAGAGAGAACACACACTACCAGGTAACGTGCTTTCAAGTGAATATATAGCAGCTGAGTAACCTTTAGTTGTTAACAGCATCAGAAAATAAACAAATTACACATTGACAAGTTCGCAGACTAAATCATATATTAAGAATTATTTTTTTCTCCTGAAGACTGCACATTCAGCCAGGGACAGAAATCCTTCTTTCCTGCTAAAATAGGTATTAGGTTTTCCATGCCTTTCAAAGCGTTACTAACAAAACAGCAACTGCCTCTCATTGCTACTCTACAAAACGTGCACGGTGAGGGCAAGCAACAGTTTAGGTGCTCAGGAAAGTAGTGTTTGCATTGTTTTAAATGAAAGACTTTCTGCTCATCAGGGAGGATAAGTACAATGTAACATTAGGATCAAGCATGTTTAATGACCATTCTGCAATAAGGACAATAGTTTTAATTATCTTAATTATCCCCTATTTTAAGAACATGTGCAAGGGCACCAAAAATCCCGCAACTCTACTATTAAGAGTTATCAACATACTAATGACCTTCAGTGCATGCAGAATGACATCAGTTGTCTACATCTTTTCTCACTTGCCAAGAAAATAAGAACTTAAGTAGCAGTTTATAATTTATGTCACAGGAACTGAACAGCAGTCATCTTCAGTAAGCAATATCCTTTCTGTATTTCCCTCTCTTCTCATTAGCTGTTCTAGGTAATTACTGAATTGCTTTTTAAGAGCACAGAAAATAGACATTTCCTTTTTAACTAATGCATATTTTCTTTAAAAAAACCCAAACATTTAAGCACAACAGAGAGTGTGTGGACATACAGCCACAAAATACAAAGCTACTGTATCTTTAAAGTGTCATAAAAGTCCAATCAGGTTTTAAATTCTTTTTCTTTCCACAGAAATAGTATGCAGTTTAGTAGTAACCGATGTGTAAGCATTCAGTAGACGGCAAAAAATTATGTTAAGTGATTATCCTTTAATGGCAGCTTTTCTGAATTATCAGACACAGACATACATACCCTCCCTCCCTCCCCCCCGTAAAATACAATTGCAAAACTGAACAAGGAAAGCAGTGATTTGCTCCATTCCTGTGTGGTCAGAGCATAATGTAAAAGCTATTGAGCTGTGTGCAGCTCAGCCTGGGAACGAACAGCACAGCTAGGCTTGGGTGCTAACCCTGAGAATCCAATACTGAACCAGTTACAAACAAGCACCAAAAAGGGGCTTATATTTAAAATCATTTTAATCAAAATAAGTTTCCAACACTGGGCTGAAGCACCAGGATTTTTCAGAAAAATCTGAATGGGAAACAACAGATCATTTCTAGAAATCCCACGGGGATTCACTTCAAAGTTTAAAGGCCAAAGACATGAAAACACACGGTGGCAGAGATCTATTTTAAACAGGTCACTTCATTAGAACTGAGATTGATTAATTTAGAGAGGTCATCTGCTGGGATGCGAAACGGATGTTCTAGTCAGCAGTCTTCATCAGAAAACATGCTGATTGTTTTTTAACAGATGAAACCTGTAAGGGAAAGAAATTGTTTCTGAAGGAAACATTCTGTATTTGGAAAAAAAAAGTCTTCAGGAAAAAGACACTTCGACAAGCCTGGGATAGAATGAGAGTTAAAAGCTACATTTCTGTCAAAGGGCAAACCTGCCTCTGTTCTTCCAAAGCTTCTTCCACAAGTTAATTTTTCAAATTAACTGCTGTGCTGGAAATTAATTTTTAGATAATTAGTTCGGTTACAGGGCTCAGAGCTTGGTTTTCCAGTATGCTTCACAAACCATATCATGCAACAGTACTGTTAAGCATGACATGGATCTAATCTTTTTTATTTGTTAAGGGGGAGAGAAAAGCATATACAGAATCACAGTATCATTTAGGTTGGAATGGACCTCTTGAGATCATCTTGTCCCGCACCCTGCTCAAGCAGGGACACCTAGAACCAGTTGCCCAGGACCGAGTCCACCTAGGTTTGGAGTATCTCCAAGGATGCAGACTCTACAACCCCTCTGGGCAACCTGTGCCAGTGTTAGACTATCTTCACAGCAAAAAAGCATTTTCTGATGTTCAGATTGACTTTCATTCATGTGCCCACTGCCTCTTGTCCTGTCACTGGACACTACTGAGAAGACTCTATCTCCTTGTCCTTCACTCCCTCCCATCAGGTATTTACATACATTGATAAGATCCCCCTGAACCTTCTCTTCTCCAGGCTGAACAGTCCCAGCTCTCTCAGCTTCTCCTCACGTGAAGGATGCTCCAGAACCTTCATCATCTTTGTGGACCTGTGCTGGACTCACTCCAGTAAGTCCATGTCTCTCTTGCACTGGGGAGCCCAGAACTGCACACAGCACCACAGATGGGGCCTCACCTGTGCCAAGTAGAGGGGAAGGATCCCGATCTGCTGGCAACACTCGTCCTAAAGCAGCCCAGGATGCTGTCGGCCCTCTTTGCCACGAGGGTGCCTTGCTGCCTCATGGTCAGCTTGTTGTCCACCAGGACCCCAAGGTCTTCTCTGCAAAAGTCGCTTTCCAGCCAGTTGGCCCCCAGCCTGTACTGGTGCAGGGGCTTACCCTCAGATATCCCCGGATGCAGGACTTTGGATTTCCCTGTGTTGAACTTGATGAGATTCCTCTGTCCAGCCTGTCAAGGTCCCTCTCAATGGCAGCACAACCCGCTGGCTCACCAGCCGCTCCTCCCAGTTTTTTATCATCTACAAACTTGCTGAGGTGCACTCTGCCCCATCGTCCAGGTCATTAATGAAGATGTTGAACAGTACTAGCCCCAGTATTGACCCCTGGGGTATACCACTTAGTGACTGGCCTCCAAGGACCTTGTACCACAACCCTCTGGGCCTGGCCATTCAGTTTTTAATCCACCTCACTGCCCACT